AACGGTATAGGATCATTTGATTCTGGATATTGGTCTCGAAATGGTGATACGGAATATTGAAAGTAATCGAATATGACTTTGATTCCTGGAGCGCTGGCGTCAAAATAGTAAAGTGAATTAAAGATAAGGAAAGTAAGAAAGAGGAAAAGCGTTGTTGATTATCCCTTGCCGGGACGTTTGTTTGGCATTTGTTGAATTTCTTTCCCTTGCCGGATGTTTTGTCAATATTTGCTTATTTTTATGCCCTTGATTGTGACTATTGTTTGGGGAGTCGGCTGACAATATAATATGTGAGATCGGGTTTGCGCGCCGCAATAGTGATATTGAGGACGGGTTGCACGCCGCAACAAATAATATTATGAGGATCGGGTTGCGCGCCACAACAATGATATATGATAGGTGATATGGGTCGGGTTGCACGGAACCGCAACAATATATTGTGGAGCGGGTTGCACGCCGCAAACAATAGTAATATGGAGCGGGTTGCACGCCGCAACAATTATTGAGGGCTATGTGTTTTACATTTGAGTATGATTCCTTGTTCACTGTGAACCCAAGTGTTTTAGGTTGTTACTCTGATTAATTGTTGTTATTGTAACTCCCCATAGCATGTTTCCCCTCCCATGATGGTAAATTGCTTGTGTATTCGATTTCCGTTGTTTATTTATGACTGCACAGGTTTATGTGGTGTCTCAGTCTAGCCTCGTCACTACTTCGCCGGTTAGGCTAGACCCTTAACCAGCACATGGGTCGGTTGTGCTGATGCTACACTTCTGTGTTATTTTGCAAGGTCCAGGTTTTGAGGAACAGCACAGCAGTAGTGTCTGAAGCAGGCGATTCATATTCAGAGACTGAGGTAGCCTTGCAAGGCGTCCGCAGGCCCGGCGTTCTTCTTTATGTTTTTCCTTTTGACTGTTGCCTCATCGTTTCGGAGACAGACAGCTGTTTATATTTCCTTTTCAGACCTTTGTATTTAGTTTTATTCTTAGTGGTTCGTGAGTAAAGTGGACACCAAATCTTGGGTAGAGGTTGTTTTGACTAATTCCGCGTTTTAAATTTATCATTTTTAGACAGACTTTCCGCTATTGTTCTTATTAGAATTAATGTTCTATATTGTGTTATAAACTGTTAAAGATAATTGCTTAGTGGATGGAAAGGTAATTAAGTTGGCTTGCCTAAGCTACCACGAGTAGGCGCCATCACGACTCATTGATGGTGGGAAATCCGGGTGTGACAAGTTTGGTATCAGAGCACTAGGTTACATAGTCTCACATTCACGGACAAACTTAGTAGACGTCTGAGGGGAGGTACGGGAGACGTCTGTACTTGTTCCCCAGAGTCCATTGAGTTAGGAAAATACTCTCATCTGTTCTTTCTTGTCGTGCCCGATTTGGTTTTCTTAAATGCTGATTTGAAATTTTTCCACTCTGTTCTTTCGCAGATGGTTGAGAAACACGCGCTTCCTCATCCCTCCGATCAGCAAGTCCGAGCCCAGGCAGCTCCGCTAGGGGGCAAGAGGACGTGGCCAGCCTAGGGTCCGAGGTAGGGGCAGCCAACCACCAGCAGCCACACCAGTGGCGGACCCCCAGGTTGGCCTTGACGAGGAGGTTTTCCCGGCCCCAGCTCAGACAGGTTTTTCGTGGGCCCAGCTCAGGTCCCAGAAGGGGTTTTACTGCTACGCCCAGTTCTTTTAGGACGCCTTGGTCCGGTTGGTTTGCCTCATGGAGAATGTCACCCGGAGCAGGATTGTTTCCTGCAGCACCAGCCACTTCCAGGCTGGAGGAGGAGCCAAAAACTCCTGCCTGCACGTAACTCCCGGAGCAGGGTAGTCCCCAGGACTCAGATTCCACCGGCTCAGACAGCTGTGGCAGTTCAGCCGGGGAGTAGTTTGCACAGGCCGTGTGATGGAGCGGCTATGGTCCGCTAATGCTTTTGGGGGCTGGACAGATTCACCAAGTTTTTCACTGCTACATTCAGCGAAAGCTTCTTCTCTGAGGACCCCCAGGAATTATCTTATATACGCTTGCCACCGAGGTTTCTTCGAAACATGGGCATTGTGGGAGTCCAATGAGTTGATTTTGCGGCTTTTTCGTCTATCTGGATCCGCCAAGAACTTGGTGGAGGGATTGACTGATCATCGCGATCGCGTGGAGGAATACGCGATCGCGTAGAAGAACTACTGGGGGGGTCCAAGATTGGCCTACGCGAACGCGTGCATAGGGACGCGAATGCGATAGAGAACAGAATAGACCATCGCGATCGCGACGGCCAGAACGCGAACGCGATGAAGGGAAATACTGGGGTTTGAATTTAGCTTACGCGATCGCGGTAGGGAACACGCGAACGCGATGGAGGAGATAACAAGGCACTGCGAACGCGTGCCTAGGGCCGCGTTCGCGAAGAACAAAGGTCTGCAACAGAAAATCTGATCCGATTTCCAAGTGTAAAAACACCCCGAACCACCTCCAATTCACTCCCGAGCCCTCGGGGCTCCTAACCAAACACACACACTAACTCAATAACATCCTACGAACTTACTCGAGCGATCAAATTGCCAAAATAACATCAAAATCATTGAATCAAGCCTCAAACTCATCATTTTCATTTCAAAATTCATGAACTTCCAACTTTAGACATTTAGGTCCAAAACACGTCAAACGACGTCCGATTTCGACCAAACTTTACAGAAAGCGCTTAAACAATATATAAGACTTGTACCGGGCGTCGGAACCAAAATACGAGCCCGATACCACAGTCTTTTAATCAATTTTCATTTCCATTTTCCTTAATGATTTCAGAAAAATAATTTCACAGAAAAATTCATTTCTCGGGCTCTAGACCTCGGAATTCGACTCCGGGCACATGCCCGAGTCCCATATTTTTCTACGGACCTTCCGGGACCGTCCAATCTCGGGTCCGGGTCCATTTACCAAAATGTTGACCGAAGTCAACCTTAAACATATTAATATCAAAATTCTTCCAAATTTTCACAGGATTCACATATTTCAACATAAAAGCTTTCCGGCTACACGTCCGGACTGCGCACGCAAATCGAGGCAAATAAAAAATGAGGTTTTCAAGGCCTCGGAAGCGCAGAATAAATGAGGAAACAGGTGATGACCCTTTGGGTCGTCACATAAATCGGTGAAAAAAATGAATTTTAAGCGATAAGGTAAAATTGTAGGAGGCAACCACATAAATGAGTGGCCATTTGTTTCTTTTTTGCATTCAGTCTAAGGAAAACAGTCTCGCTACAGTTTTATAATAAGTTTTTCTTGTAAAATATTAGTTCAATATTACTCATTCTTTATATTTACATTGTCACTATCAAATTCTTAGAAGGTATAATGCTAACTTTTTTTCATTCGCAAAAGTTTTAAGAGACCAAGAGATTTAATTTTTAATTTGTGTTATTTGATAAATCTTTAAAGAATTATAAACATTAACAATTTTCATAAGTTTCGACATAAGTCCGGACAAAATAGCAATAAGGCATCTAAATAAAATTCCTTCATTTGTTAAGCTAATTAAATGGGAATAATATTTATTATTTTTTTTAAAAAATCTTAAATTATATTTCATAACTAAATAAATTATCTAATAACATGTATGTAATTTTTAAAATTTGTATATTCATTAATATAGGTACAAGCGCAAAGCGCGTACCCTGAAATTAGTAACTTATAATATAGGTACAGGTTTAAATGTGATGAAGTTATGATTAAAAGAATTAAATATTAAAAAGTACTATCTTATTGTCCTATAGGATACTTGTTAAACACACAGGCTAGCCAAACTTTTCTTCTTCCCAATCATACGTCTTAATGAAATTGTTATTAATGAGAAATAGTAGGATAGTGTCGGAATGTGCCTTTAAAATCTGCTTCTTTTTTGTTCGTAAAATTTATGGTGGTTTGAATATTGGTTGATTAATACTTTTCCATATTGATTAATTGCTCTTTAAGTCTCATAAAAATGCAAATTCTCTTATAACACAAAACTAACATCATTACGAGGTTTTTGTATCCCCACGACGTAAATATCACCATGTTACAAAAGAGCAAACGGGAATTATCAATTTATCATTAATTTATTATTGCTAAATTCATTACTCTATTTTGCATTTTGCACTTTAAGGATGAAACATATTATTTCTTCACACAAATCTTTAAAAATATGAAAAATTACACCTGTAACCTTATATTAAGAGGCCACTTTAACCTTTTAAGCGTTATATTAGGAGAAAAATAAATACTAAATTTGTTTGACATCTTGCTTCTTTAAATAAATACTAAATTCGTTCACATGCTTCTTAAAAATAAAGTTTTTCGTACACATGAGAAAAGGATAAGAAAAATATAGACTGAAAATTAGGCACATACCTATAACCTATCATGTGAAAGATCTTCAATAGTACATTTAAACCCATAAACTTTAATGGTTATAACTAATTATAATTAAAATCATCTCTTTTCTTGGGATTGCACCAGAGTGAGGTTAGTGTGATAGAATTTTATCTTAGCCTACTAGTGGTTAATATTATCTTCACATTGCTATTTCGTTTTCATAGTGACGGGCCTCATCTACTGGTTATTGTTTTGCTTTTCATTTATTTTTTGGTTCTTGTGATGCTATTATTTTTTTCAATGGTTTTTGTTGATGGTAATGATATGTTGCTTTTTTGTCTTCTTGAGCGATCTATTGAAAACAACCTTTCTATTCTTCGGGATAGGAATAAGGTGTGCGTACACATAAGTTTCATCAAATCATACTAGTGAGATTTCACTAGGTGGTTGTTGTTATACTTGTGTGGGGATTATTTCAAATAAAAATTGATTCCAAAAATAGAAAACCTAAAAAAGAAAAAGAAAGGGATCGTTTATGTGGCGATAAAAGATAGGATGATATAAGTGGCATCTCAGAGCGAAAAATAGCTGTCTGAAAGCTGTCTTTATTTACTACACAAAAAAAAAAAAAAAATCAAAATCAAAATCCGAAGTCTTTTTCTGTAGCTGATTTGAGCTTTTCTTCATTTCCATTTTCTGCTATATCTTTCTCTGTCTTCTCACTTTCTTCCTTTTAACTCTCTCTGCTCACATCCATTCTTCTTTTCCTCATTCACATTAAAATCATCATTTCTGTGTCATAAAGGTGAGATTTTTATTTCTTTATTTGTGTCGCTCTACATCAATGAATGTGGCTGTTGAGTTAGGTATTGTGTTATTTTCCCCATTCTATCCTCATAGGGTTTATATTAACATTTTGAGATTTTACTTGTATTTTAACTAACAGCAAACAACTCCTTGGTTGAAGAGTAGGTGGAGAGGGATATACACACACAGAAAAAAGGAAGAGATTTTGGGCAAGTAAAAGAAGAAACTAAGAAATTGTAAGAAGGGAGATTTGGGTTTTGAAGAATGAGTGCGTCTAGGTTCATAAAGTGTGTCACCGTTGGCGACGGAGCTGTGGGTAAAACTTGTCTTCTCATTTCCTATACCAGCAACACTTTTCCCACTGTAAGTACTTGTTTACCTTTCTATCTCTCTTTTATGCATTTTGTCGTCAGGCATTTTCTTATAAGCCTAACCGTTGGCGACGGAGCTGTGGGTAATTTTTTTTTCTTTTGGGAATTAGACCAAATGAGGCTCTTTCTGTTTATCGCCCAAAAAAACAAATTAAGCTAGTTATTCTCAGTAAAACGACATGTTTTCTTGAATCATGACTTGCTTAATCAATTTGGCGTCCGGTCTAAGAGTGGGTTGTTTTACTTTTACTTCCAACTAGTATTTGTACCCGCTTGTACCCGCGCGTTGCGCGGAGAATAAAAATAAAAAGAAGAAAATTTTACTTGAACAATACAGTGGACACAAAGGAGCGTGAAAGAAATTTGATTTTGTTATTCATCCATTCGTTGAATATGTTGGGTCTTGTTGCTCTTCATATATTTACATACATAATCGACACCACATCGTGTGTCTCAAACAAAGAGAAAATCAAGACAGATAGCATGCATACTTCTAGCCAATACTGTAAAGCAAATTTTTGGGCTTTACCATTCTTAAGAAAACTTTTGCCTATATGCATGAAGAAACAAAAATGTTAGTGAAATTAATTACTTATAGAATTGATGTGATCCAAATTTACTTTGACAGTTCTAGTTCTTGCTCTTGACCATCACAAAATTGATGTCTCATGCTTCCTAAGATCAAGAAATGAAATAGAAGTGTGTTCGATTTATGCCAACTAAAGGGTATCAGAAAAATTTGAAATCAATACAACTTTATTTTAACATAAAGAAAATCAAAATGCATAACAACTTTGTTGAATGAATACTGTACTAAAGCTATCTTTCGTCTCGTCCTAGAGCTTTTGCATACTTTCTCCAAATATATAGTTGTCTCATATTTTGTGCTATTACTATATGCCAAAAGCTGTAAGGTTTGTCATATTTTTCCTTTAAAGATAAGGACTTGACAAACTTATCAGTTTGGGTTTATTAAGCAAGTGTTTCTAATGGACTGTATAAACTTGCGAGAGAAAAGTAGATGCACGAAAACAAACGTGCATTCTCAATCAGCATATTATGGTGCTTAAAGTACACGTTTCACAAAGAGATATCAATGCCACATATCTAAAGCACACATTGAACCTCAAACGACTGGTTTTCACCCAGAGTCTTTAAAGGACAAAGAATTAGCACAAAGGAAGAAATAGAAGAAGATCCAAAAAAGTTGCTAGTATAAAATTTAACAGTATGAGAAGAATAATATCCAAATTGAATAAATAAAAGGGAAAAGAAGCAAAATAGAACTTACTTTATTACTGAATATAAAATCCTTTCGTCGATCACATTAGAAGAATCTCATAGATCCTCCTTGTAAAAAATACTGCAAAAATACAAAACAAACAGAACTTACTTGAAATGCAAAGAAGTAAATTAATTAAACTTGAAATGCAGAACCTGCACTTTTTCAAATAAAAAAAGAGCACCTTTTTCTGGATGAAATTGTGAACCGATGATTTCGAATCCATAACCATGGTTTAACAATGTTGTCGCCGATAAACTTTTAGCAATTCAAATTGTTACTTCATAATTGAACTCCGGAGTGCATGAATGTAGAATCACTACGGATACTTTGAGCGGGAGATGTGAAATTGCAGAAATTTCAAGCCCACACATTGAACAAAGTTCGTGATTAAGAAAAATAGGAGGAGAATCATTTATGAGGGAGAGGGTGCGGATGAATAGTCCAGAACGTGGGTCTTGTTTCAGTTTTTTTTTTTTTACCATTTTTACCTTTTCCGTTTTTACGAGAGAGAGAGTGTTTGAGTTAGTTTAGGATATTATTGCTCATGTTTGAGAACACAATCAATTGTGCAGTATTTCTTTTTGGCTTTAATTATTAGTATTTCTATGTAGGTTTATAATAAAATAAATAAAAACTAATGAAAAACGTAGGAAACCATTTTTTGGAATTAAAGTAATTTTTTTGTAGTTTTAGTTTTAAGAAGTATCGCCCAAAATATGGGAATAACTGAACTTGTTAATTATTAAAATTTTGTAATTTTTTTTTATTTTAATTTTATAAAAATTTGAATTTCCAAAGGTACGGGAGTTTTGTCCTAAAACATGACAAGTGTTGATATTTTGTTTTGACACTTGTCATAATTTCATTAATTTACTTCTCCTTTTATATATTAATAGATTACCACAAAAAATGGATCTTTTGGCTATTTTAAGGGAAAAAGAACTAATTTTGTTCATTGTAGACTAGAGTTATTGAGGAGGGG